TTTTCACTCACCTCATAGTTCTAGCCGACCTGTGACAATGAGACTGTCACAGGTCGGCTCAGTAGATCGGGTGGTGAGCGAACACATACCGGCGTTCGCTCACCTCTCGATCCTGTCAGGGCTCTCTGCCGTGACAGGGGAGGGACTGGATTCCACGCTGCGATCCTCTAGCGCTGACTGGCGGAACGAACGGGAGGGGGCGGGTACAGCTGGCTCTGCCTCTAGATAGGCAGAGCCAGCTGTCACTCACGCAGCTGGGCAGATCCAGACATAATTGTCGGGATCCGCTTCAGCTGCGGCGCCTCAGTATACCGCGAGCTGTAGCTCGCGGTATACTGAGCTTAGGGTGACGGGAGGACGCTAGTTTGTGTCCTCCCGTTACCCTAAGGAGAACTATGGGGAAAAGCATTAACCCCATAGTTCTTCTTTAAAGAACATTCAAGCAGAAGAGAAATGACATTAAGAACATTTGTTTTTTCCCCATTCTTACAACAGATGGTTGATTTGAACAGAATTTGCTGTTTTGCTGAGCAAATAAGCGTAGCAATTTTTTTCTCTGTTATGAATAGAACCCCCCCCCAACTAGTGTTCAGTAAGGAATTACAAAGAATAATGAAAAAAAAAAAAGCACAACATTTGAAATATAGATTAGCTCCTGTATGTTAATGCCAGGGCTGTCCCTGTAATGAGGTAACTTGAGGCTGTTGCCTCAGGTGCCATCTCTTTGGGTCACGTGGGGAGTGGGTGGAAGGCAGATCAGCATAGCCGTGTGCTTGCCGCCCCTTTTCCTGCTCTTAACAACCTGGTACGCCCTGGCCAGCGTCCCACTCAGCTCTTGGCAACCAGTGACACCAGGAGCTGAGCGGGACATGTTTTCTTAGTTTAGATTCATTTACTATATAGATCTATATATAGATATATATATTATCCTAGAAGAGTGAACCGCAAATTAAGGGGTTTCATCGTAAAAGTTCTGCCCAGCCTATATCCGGACAGATGCTGTTCTCATGGCATTAGCTCCCCTAGGTGGTGCTGGCGAGAATGCCTATACTCATCAGCGCCATCTAGGGGCACTATTCGATAAAACTTTTATAAATAAACCCATTAGAATCCATCTTGGCAAGTTTTGTAAGTTTACAAGACCATGTTGAACACAAAACAGCCACCCTTGAATAATTACAGTACGGCGCATGCAGATTTGCAAGCATCAAGGGAATAGTTGACTGTAGAAGGTCACCTACCTGCCAGCTGAGGCATCTTCACAAGCAGATGGATCCGAGACCACTGACGCTTTATCTTTCACATTCATTCCTTGCAGAGTTTATCCGCTGCTCCGAACAGGAAGACCGGAATTCCTGTCTGAGAAAAAAAAAAACATCATATGAAAGACATAATTATAGGGATTGCGCACACTGACAGATTAACTGCTCTGATGCCAGCAAAATGCAAGAAATACACTATATATATATATATATATATAATATATATATAATGTAAAACTAGTGACCTGTATTACATGAATGTGTGTGGGTAATGTTGACATATAACGGCAAAGAAAAAACCGTACAAAGATACCATTTAGCAGAATAATTTGGCAAAGGTTATTCCTGTTTACTGAGGGTTTGAAAAGAGACAGCCACAGAGATGATAATAAACAGCAAGCAGTATGACTCTTGTGGTAGTCTGGGTGTCTATAGGCGGACACTAAATCTGCTAGGTTGCATCATGGAACATTGTGGTGATGCAAAAACCTTGCAAATCTGCATGCACGTACGGTAATTGTCCGATGGTGGCTGTTTTGTGTTCAACGTGGCCTTCTAAACCTACAAAATTTGCCAAGGTGGACTCTAAGGGGTTCCCCTAGATCAAGCCGTCTTAAACTTTTTCGACTTTTTTCCACTTTTCCAGGAAATGTTTAAGGGACACCAGCATCGGATAGTGTCTCCCCCCTCTTTCCCCCCAGCGTCGGTAGGTGTCTCCCGCCATCCCTAGCGTTGGCCGGTGTCTCTTTCCTCCCCCCC